AAAAAAAAAAAAGATCGGTTAAATCTCTCTCAATGTCCTAAAACTAAATATAAAATTCAATATAAATCGTTGAAGTTGATAAAAGAGCGAAAGCAACAAAGATACGCATTCAATTTCAATTCAAGCCTTTTAGATTGACTGAAATATGCATAAATCGAATAATGTGAACGTTGAAAGGGCCTCAAAGGCATTTCCTGTTTAGCTAAATTGAGTTAAATTTGATTGCAGAAGGCAGCCTAAAGGTTTTCAAATTTACAACTCGTCTGCTTTATTCGCACAGGCAGTACACAAACACAGACACGCACGCACACATATTTAAAGAGAGGACGCATACAACTGCAGACATATGCTCATCGGAAACATTAACGATAATGACAAAAAAAAAAAAATGAAAGACAACAACAACGAAACGGCACTTGTTCACAAGGACATCTGAGAAATCCATAAATTTAAAGCATGCTTTTGTGCGCCAGAGCGCAAAGAAGAGCGAAAACAACAAAAGCAAGAAAACTAGAAATGGAAACAGAAACCGAGACAGAAACAGAGACAGAAACAGACACAGACAGAAGATACACAGACAGAGAGACACAGAAACACAGGCAACTTTAAATCAGCTGTAGCCTGTTGAGCGAGAGCGCGGCAAATTTAAAGATTCCCCCCGAGCATTAAATGCAACAAACACGATTTGCGCATTTGCACTTGAATTCACAGTTAACTGCATTGTTCTACATTAACGACATGATAATCGCACCCAATTCTTTCATAATTCCTCAAGCGGTTGCCCAAGCGCTGTCAGCGGCGTTACGACTTGTGTGTGTATTTCACTGATTTTCAAATTGTTTATGTTCTTTTTTTTTTGTGTGTATTTTTCTATTTTTTTTTTTTTTTCTTGATTTTTATTTGTTGTCAGTTCGTTAAACCTGTTGTCGCTAGTCGCCGATGTCGACTCCGCTGTGAACCGCACGCGTTGCGTTCGAATCAGACACTGAAACGGAGACTGAAACTGAAACCGAAACTGAGACCCAAACTGAGCGGGCGAACAACTGATTCGTTTCGTGTTCAGCCGTTAGCAAAACGCGCTCTCTGCCGGCAAATACAGTCAGATTTGCACGTTTGTTGTTGTGTGCGCGCCAAAAACGTGCAAAACTATCGCGACCCGAGCGGTGAGAGAGCGACAGCGACAGCGCAGCGGCGTCGCTCACTGGGGGGCTGTTTACGATTTGCCGCTCCTGATAGCACTTTGATTACGCATGCATGTCATGCGGTCGCCTTAGCCTTGCCTCACTCACTGCGCTGGCAGAGCAACACCTGCCCGAATAGTAGCCGTCGGGCATGTTGAATTGTCACCTGCCACCTGTGGCCGAGCTAATGTAAATAGAAACATTTCTATGAGAACTCAAACTTCCGCTCACGTACTCTAGCTCTGCAAAGCAAAGAGTAAACTTTAAAAATCTATTTCCGCTAAATTTAAATTAATAAACTTTACATGTAGCTGAGACATTTGTTTTATGCAAATTTCAGCTCGGATTGCCGAATATTGTTGAATATTTAAATTTGTTTGTACATAAATGTATAAACTGCGCCTTATAATGCAAAACTATAAATTCTATATATAAACATTTAACATAAATGTGTTTATTCTTTACAAATAAAATATATTTTTTATATAATTGTCGCTTTGCTGCTTTAGTTGATAACCGCCTTGCAATGAAGTCACAAACTGCTGTTTTTAAATTTTCTACCTGTTATCAGCACAATGAATGACATACATACACATATACAAATATTTATGTACACAACACAACGCCAATAGCTTATCGATAATAAACACAAACAAATTCAAATGCCTCGACAAAACACAAGCTACAAAACACACTAATTCGATTATAATGCGCTAAAATCACAGAACTCTTTAGTCAATATACGTATGTATGAATATGTTCGCATATCGATATATAAGAAATTCCACATGTGTATAATATGCAAGTGTATTTGTTGCCTATCAAATTAAAGGTTCTATAGAAGTATTCCTCAAGCACAACTCACTCTTTGCACCGCCGCAACCGCACTCAACGCTGTTCAAGTTCGAACTAAGCAGCATCGTCAAGTCGAGCGGCTATTTAAGCGATTTTCGAAATCGACTGAAAACAACAAAACAAATAGAACAGACGAGAGAATATGAAAATGAATAAAAATAAAATATAAATTATTTTGGGCTAAGAACAACAAGCAGCACTTCATTAATCGCCGCGGCTCCCATCGACGATTTAGGGAGCATGGGGGTTATCGAACATTTCGCTAGATCAAAATAATATTGCATCACGGAAATACATACATAGTTCAGGATTTCACTGTAGCTATTTTGAATATCATCATTGATGATGATATATACATGATATATACATAGTTCTTATTACTGCATTCAATAGATGTAATGTGTGGGGTCAAGAGGTCAAATTAATTTCCAGCTGTATATGAATATCAGTATAGTTCGCTTCTGCTAGCAGTTCCATTTGGTTCAATAGCTTTGTTAAGTAACTGCGTATTTCTTATCTATTTCGCACTTGCAAGCTCACATTTACTTGACCTTTGCATAACTTTTCGACTTTTTCGACTGTCACGAGATATTTGGGGCCTTTTAATGGACACTTTGCATGTTGCTCTGAAGTTTTCACACGACTCCAGGCACAATGAATTGTTTCATTGCTATCCACTCGCTATTTATCTCCACTCAGTTGATGATCTAATAACAAATTTGAATCATTGTACATAGTTCCATTGGCTGGGTTGAAAACCGACTCTTATAATTAGCTGTTGAAGAACAAGTTGTGTAGAATTCCAAATTTGTCGCAATAAAAGTTTTTATTGTTCCACTAGGTTGATTATAAACCCAATTAAACATCTACTTCGCAGTCAAAAACATATGAAAAATTGTCACAAATAAAAAATTGTACTAATTGAGCACTATTTCTTCCTTTTCTTTCTTCATCTCAAAGATCTGAAGAGTTCGCATTTCAACTTTTAATGATGCTGTCGGAGAAGCCCGCTGGAACCTGTTGAGCCGGAAAGTGTATTTATTATTATTGTCTATCATTGTTGCTAATAATTTGGCCAGCTCAATTAATATGCATTATGCATATATTAGCATTGCGAATTATTATTCAAACACATTTTATGTAATAATTCTTTATGCGCGTCAAACTATTTCCTTTGCTTTATGGAGCCAATTGTTTATGCCAAAATTGTGGGTCATTAATAAACAGTCGAGACGCAAATATTAATGAAACTTACCTGAAATGGTCAAATACTATTATATAGATTATTCCTATTGATTCTCCAGATTTTCGTTTTGTTTAAATAATGCAACTCTTGGGATACACTATTCCAGTCACGTTGCCCATTCCGATGCAGGAATTTTATCTATGTTTATATATATCTAGTATCTATATATGTACGATTATTTGTGTTTGATCTAAACAAGCGTAAACACTTTATTATTTTTTTTAGCTTGAATTCCTATTTGCAATGGTCAGGCCTTTGGCTAGCTGGAATTTCATAGCACATGGTAAACATTCGTGAAAATGAGCTTCAACAATAACTCGATATGGCTGAAATATGCGAATTTAACGACCACTTGTACAGCCAACTTACCACATGTTATTTGTTGTTAATAAATTACCTTTTGTTGAAAAAAAAAAGTAATAATTAAATATTCAACAGAAAAAGAAAACCAAGGCGCAGAAACAAAAGCCGAACGTGGATGAAATGAAAACAAAACACAAAACTGACAGGTGGAAGCTCCCCAGAGAGAGAGAGAGAGAGCGAGAGGGAGAGACACGCACACATATGCATTAAATAGGCTATGAGAGCTGGATACCAAGAGAGTGAGAGGTGAGAGAGCGAAATAATATGAGTTTGGATATAGAAGTCTGTTTCGTAATCACGCTTCAGTCATATTCAGCGCGAGAGCGAGATCGGTGTGGTGACGGAGCGTAGCGAGTTCTCTCAGTGAACGCTTCTGACAGTTGATGCTGGCTCGTTGGGATAGCAAGATAAAAGCGAATCTGTGAAGAGCACTTCCAAACAGAAAGGAAAATAACAAGAAAATAAAATTGGAAACAAAACAGATGTTACAATGGACACGCAACAACAACAGCAACAGAGCCAAACGAGCAACAACAACATCAACTGCGACAGTGACAATTGCCAGAAAATTAAAAGATTCGTGATTATCGGACTGCTGATCACTATTGGCATACTGAGCTGGCATTTCTATGGTGCGTAATATATACACACATTTATTACGACCCATAAACATTTCCGTATATTTACAGAGTATTTCCACAGCAAACCACTGCCCACGGCACCAGATGATGTGCTGGCCTTGTCGCAGACGCTATTTAAAGAAGAAGCTGCGGAAAATCCATATCTCTACAAGGTGAATCTGCAGGGCAAGACGAAGTCCGGCGCACATGACGATCGAGCGCCAGGACCGTGAGTATGGGAGCAGTAACAGCTCATGATTCTGTTAAGCTGGCCTATGTTAGACTATTACATTATGTTAATCCATTTCAGACTCTTTGAGCTGCACAACGATCTGCTGGCCAGAGATAGCAATTCCACGACGGCTCTGCTGCAGCGGCTCTTCAACAACTATGAGCTGGACGTCGCCGTGCCGGATGTAATCACGGCGGAGCATGAGCAAGAACAGCTGGACTTTCTGCGTGCCGTAATGAACACACGCGTCATGAAACTCTCAATGCGTTTCTTAGCCAAAAAAGGTAAGCTACCAAAAGTTACTCACCCAATTAATGTAAATGCATTCCGAAATTATTGCAAAGCAAGCTGTTATTCATAGGAGTAATCAGATTACTACGTGAATCAACGTGGCTTTTGTTACCAGCTTAAAGTAGGGCTGGGCATATATGTTTATATTCTCGGTTAGCAACGGGCAAGTACAGTGCTTTAAGTACTTCTGAGCATCCACAGCTTTCTGAACATTTGATATGTAGAGAGATAAGATAGTAGAACTACAATTAAATTTGTTTATTTCTTGAATATGTATATATAAT